CAGTGAATTCAGTCTCAAAGTCAACTAAAGTATTAAAATAATTAGAAGTAGTGTTTATATTTGCAGCACTGAGATCTTACTGATACTCATGAATTATGATTCAGCCAAATAAATATGTGTATACAGTTAGAATTATGTCCATTTCAAACTAGGGTTCAATAGCTTCTGTGCATTTGTACCAAAGGCATGTAACAGTTCATTTACTAATGTTGTGTACCAGTGAGCCTAATTAATCAGCCAGTTGAAGGTCTTATTTATAGAAAATAATTACTGTGTTCTAATGATAATTCCACACAATAAAGCAGAAGATTAATGTTTTTGTTATGAGATTGCTCACCACTCATTTATATAATAAAGGGTCATAGTAAGCAAAAAATACAAGCTGAATTAGAAAAATTTATTAAAGAATAGCTATATAAAGAGACTATTTGCAGAAATGCATGCACAGTGTTGAATCCAAAAAAAAACAAAACACAAAAGCATATCTAAATGTATTTCTATCTCATTTGGGGCATAAGGTTGCACTCTCAAAACATCCATTTTCTATAATGGAGATCATTGCAAAGCTACTCATAATTCTATCCTAGATGCCGTATATAGATCATCTATCTTGATCTTTAATCTGTGAGCAGAAAAAATATGTCACTTCCCTCATGAATAATCAGCCTATATTTCATCCTGTGAACATTAAATACCATCAGCTGAAACTTAAGAGGTCATGTATGGTTATGTCATGTTATAGAATATTTCAAGGAGATGAAATCTCTATCAGCACTACAACCTTTGTGACTGAAAAAGAGGAGTTTTATGTCTATGCCTTCATTGTTTGGACAGTCACCCATTATTAATATTTATTGAGTGCCTGCTATGTAGTAGGTACTTATCATGGGGCTGTCATGGGTTATCTCATTGACATGAGGTAGATATCATTATAGCCATACTAAAGGTGAAGAAACTGGAGTTTAAAGAAATTAAATGATTTGTCCAAAATGACACACACAATAAAAATAGCAGCTCTGAATTTAAGTTCAAATACATTTTTTCTGTGTTCTGTGCACCATTTTTAGAAAAAATACTGATTTTACTCCAAATGGATAAAAGAATAGAGACCTCATTGTCTCCACTCTTGAAACTGTGGACTTTTTTTTTTTTCCATAATGTGTTCTGTCTCATAATGAATTGTGGGAGGTTTATATATTTTATTGTCAAGATAAACTGGCCAGAAAAATAGCTGCAGTGGGTTATTGTTTATCTATCTATCTATCTATCTATCTATCTATCTATCTATCTATCTATTTGTCTTTAATGTATTTACTTGTTAATTTTGGAAGACACAAACTTATATAATATTTTTTATAAACATGACTGCTGTGTGGCACAATTCTTTCTGTGTAACACTTGGTTGAATGCAAGGAATACATAAATAATGCAATAATAAAATTTCAAAACTATTTTAAAACTATTTATGCAATGTTGATAGAATTTCAAAGGTACTTTAAAAATATAGTATCTAAAGAATTGATCTTTCCCTTGTTAGAACTTTGTGAAAAACACTAATATTAGAGCATAAAAAAGAGTATGTGCAATTTAAAGAAACACATACACACAAAAAAAGAATTTATTTCATTTAGTATTTTGAGCATACACAAAGTGACCAAAATATTTAATTTTGAATAAAATATTTTTTTAAGTTTTATTTCTTTTAAATCCATTTTGATTATTTCTGTACTAAAAATATATAAAATAAAAGTTATGGAGAAGAGTTTATGGGTTTAATATGGTTTATTTTTATACCAAGTTTTTATTTACTAAATATAAATGCAATGATAATAAATCCCCAACAAAACAAATGATCATATATGTGAATAATAATTTTTAGTATCAGAAAGGTGAACTTTTATGTTTTGAGCACTCAGTTGTTCTCAGAATAAAGACTAATTTCTAACTGGAAAATTTTCTTGAATGGAAAATGAAATATATAAACTATGTACATATATCAGAGGCCAACTAATTTAAGCTACACATTTTTCATATTTAAATCTCTTATTTATTCCAGTGGTAATGGTACCTATGATTTTAATTTAAAAATATGAGATTAAAATTTTTAAACTACATATGTATGGATTCATTCATAGTTATGCTTACATATATATCTGTTTACTTTCCTATGTTTTTCCTTATGACTGGATATATCATAATTGTGTTTTATATCCACCTGTTTTAATACTTCACTGTATTTCATTTCTAAAGCCTTGAAATTAATTGGTAGTAGCCCAATAAATATTATGTCTTCACTTTTGTCTACTTATAGTATTAATCATGGCAGTGGATTCAGAGGCCATCGCTCATTTGTACAATTATCAAAATTCAAGCACATTAGATTGTGCTCAAATAAATTCTTGCTTCCTCTAAATTATACTGTTACTTCACATTTAGCTAAAGTAATTAGCTTTTAGTATTTAGATGAAAAATGTACACTTTAACCTTTACAATATTACAACCAATGCTTTAAAGCAGTTATGCTATTTAATATTAATATGGAGATTCTGTTATTTTTATATTGGAAATTTATTTATAGAAGTTACACAGTTTGTAATCAGTGAAGTCCTGGGAATGGATCTGACAGTAAAGGTGCACAATGTAGAAAAAAAGGGAAGTTAGGTCAAAATCCAGCTTGGGAAAGACGGCACTTAGCAGTAAGCAGTGAAAAAAATCTATGCCAGTCGCCCTCCTCCCCTTAACCTCATCTCCTGCAACTCACCTCTGCCCTGACACACTGGTTTCTTGTCATTCCTTGAAAACTCTAAGCACACACCTACATCAAGGTCTTTATGTTTTCTCTTCTTTTTGCCTGGACTGCTTTCCCCAAATTTCAAGGTTGGCTACTTTATCTCCTTCAGGTCTTTGTTTAATATCGCTTTATCAGTAAAGACTTTTTGACTGCTTTAACCATAATTTTACAATCTATCCCAACACCTGCTGTTTCCCTTTCAGCTTGAGTCTTTTTTCTTAAGCACTTATAACTATTTAACTGAGCCTATATTTTACTTTTTTATTTTGTTTGTTTATTATTTTATTTCTGAACTCCATGAGGGAAAGCATCTTTGTCTATTTTGTTCACTGCCGTATTCCCTAGCACTTAAAATAGTGTCTGGCACATAATAAGTTCTCAATAAATTTTGTTGGATAGATGGAGAGAAAGTAATCTGAAAATACTCACAATATTAATCTATTCATACTTCCTTGCAACACTAATATTTATTATTTTAACGTATCTAAATAATAGATTACTAGTAAAAAGATTGAATCAGTGATCAAAATCCTCTCAACAAATAAAAGTTCAGGACCAGATGGCTTCACTGGTGAATTGTACCAAAAACTCAGAGAAGAATTATTACCAGTCCTTCTCAAGCTCTTCCAAAAAATAGAAGAGGTGGAAACTCAACTCTTCCAAACTCATTTTATGAGGCTAGTATTACCCTGATGCCAAAACCAGACATATTATTGGCCAGTATTCTTGATGAATATAGACACAAAAATCCTCAACAAAATATCAGCAAATCAATTTCAACAATACATTAAAAGGATCGCACACCATGACAAAGTGGGATTTACTCAGTGGATACAAGGATGGTTCAGCATTCTCAAATGAGTCAGTGTGATTGTTATCCACATTAATAAAATGAAGGATAAAAATCATATGATCACCCCAATAATTATAGATGCAAAAAAACAAACAAAAACATTTGACAAAATCCAACATCTTTTTATGATTAAAACTCTCAACAATGTAGCTATAGAAGGAACTTACCTCAACTTGATAAAGGCTTTATATGACAAACCCACAGCTAGCATCATACTCAAAGATCAGGAACATGACAAGAATGCCCACTCTTGACACTTTTAGTCAAGATAGTATTGGAAGTCCTAGGCAGAGCAGTTAGGCAAGAAAACAGATGAAAAACATCCAAATTGGAAAGAAAAATGTAATACTGTCACTATTTGCAGATGACATGATATTACATATAGAAAACTCTAAAGACTCCATCAAAAAAACTGTTAAAACTAAAAAACAAAATCAGTTATGTTCCAGGATACAATATCAATGCACAAAAATCTGTTGCATTTTTATACAGTAATAATAAACTATCAGGAAGAGGAATAAAGAAATCAATCCAATTTACAATTGTACCAAAAAGAATTAAATACCTTGGAGTAAATTTAACCAAGGAGGTGAAAGATTTGTGTATTAAAAACTGTAAGATATTAATGAAAGAAATTGGAGAAGACACAAAAATATGGAAAGATATCCTATGCTCTTGGATTGGAAGAATCAATATTGTTAGAATGTCCATACTACCAAAAAAAAATCTACAGATTCAATGCAATCCTTCTCAAAATGCCAATGGCATTTTTCAAAGAAATATAACAAATAATCCTAAATTTTCGTAGAACCACAAACAAAACAAAACAAAACAAAAACCCTGAATAGCCAAAGCAATCTTGAGAAAGAAGAACAAAGGTGAAAACATCATTCTCCCTGATTTCAAACTATTACAAAACTATAATAATCAAAACAGTATGGTATTGGGAAAAAAAAGATATATAAATCAATAATAGAATAGAGATCCCAGAAGTGAACCTAATAATATGTGGTCAATTAACTGAGGACAAAGGAGCCAACAATATGCATTGGGGAAAGGACAGCCTCCTCAATAAATAGTATTGGTAAAACTGGACATCCACATGCAAAAGAATGAAACTGGACCACTATCTTACAACATAACAAAAATTAATTCAAAATGCATTAAAGACTTGAATGTAAGGCCTGAAACCATGGAATTCCTAGAAACCACAGAATTCCCAAAAGAAAACATAGGCGGTAAACTCCTTGACACAGGTCTTGCAATGAGTTTTTGAAGCCAACACCAAAAGCAAAAGTAACAAAAACAAAAATAAACAAGTGGGGAGAGTCTCAGCCTCGCCGCCGCCACCCAGAAACTGCTGAGCCCCCATCCGTCCGCCGCCACCCACTCCGGACACAGAACATCCATCCAGTCATGGATAAAAATGAGCTCGTTCAGAAGGCCAAACTGGCCGAGCAGGCTGAGAGATATGATGACATGGCAGCCTGCATGAAGTCTGTAACTGAGCAAGGAGCTGAATTATCCAAGAGGAAAGGAATCTTCTCTCAGTTGCTTATAATAATGTTGTAGGAGCCCGTAGGTCATCTTGGAGGGTCGTCTCAAGTATTGAGCAAAAGATGGAAGGCGCTGAGAAAAAAGAGCAGATGGCTCGAGAATACAGAGAGAAAATTGAGACTGAGCTAAGAGATATCTGCAATGATGTATTGTCTCTCTTGGAAAAATTCTTGATCCCCAATGCTTCACAAGCAGAGAGCAAAGTCTTCTATTTGAAAATGAAAGGAGACTATTACCGTTACTTGGCTGAGGTTGCTGCTGGTGATGACAAGAAAGGGATTGTGGATCAGTCACTACAAGCATATCAAGAAGCTTTTGAAATCAGCAAAAAGGAAATGCAACCAACACATCCTATCAGATTGGGTCTGGCCCCTCGTAACTCCTCTGTGTTCTATTACGAGATTCTGAACTCCCCTGAGAAAGCCTGCTGTCTTGCAAAGACAGCTTTTGATGAAGCCATTGCTGAATTTGATACATTAAGTGAAGAGTCATACAAAGACAGCACGCTAATAATGCAAACACTGAGAGACAACTTGACATTGTGGACATCGGATACCCAAGGAGATGAAGCTGAAGCAGGAGAAGGAGGGGAAAATTAACCTGCCTTCCAACTTTTGTCTGCCTCATTCTAAAATTTACACAGTAGACCATTTGTCATCCATGCTGTCCCACAAATAGTTTTTTGTTTACAGTTTATGACAGGTTTATGTTACTTCTATTGAATTTCTATATTTCCCATGTGGTTTTTATGTTTAATATTAGGGGAGTAGAGCCAGTTAACATTTAGGGAGTTACCTGTTTTCATCCTGAGGTGCCAATATGGGGATGTGGAATTTTTATACAAGTTATAAATGTTTGGCATAGTACTTTTGGTACATTATGGCTTCACAAGGGCCAGTGTTAAAACTGCTTCCATGTCTAAGAAAAGAAAACTGCCTACCTATTGGTTTGTCCTGGTATGGAATAAAAGGGATAATTGGTTCCAGTCATAAATAAACAAACAAACAAACAAATAAATAAATAAATAAACAAGTGGGACTATACCTTCTGCAGAGCAAAGGAACCCATCAACAAAATAAAAATGCAACCTACTGAATCAGATAAAATATTTGCAAATCATGTGTATGATAGGCTAATATCCAAAATTGATGAAGAACTCATACAACTCAATTGCAAAACCTACAAACAATTCAGTGGGAAAATGGACAGAAGATCTAAATAGACATCATTCCAAAGAAGGCATACAGATGGCCAAACGGCACCTGAAAAGATGCTCTACATCATTAATCATCTAGGAAACAAAATGAAAACCACAATAAGATATCACTATACACCTATTAGAATGGTTAGAGACACAAGAAATGTACTCTCCACAGGGGTGTGGAGAAAAGGGAACCCTTGTACACTGTTAGTGGGAATGTAGATTGATGCATCCTCTATGGAAAACAGTATGGAAGATCCTCAAAAAATTAAAAATAAAATTACCGTACTAACCTGTAATGCCATTTCTAGGTATTTATCTGATGAAAACAAAACAAAACAAAACAAAAAATCAAGACGTATATGCACCCCCCCCATATTCATTGCAGCATTATTTACAATACAATTATCCAAGATACGGAATCTACCTAAGTGTCCATCGATGAATGAATGGATAAAGAAAATGTGCTATGTATATATACAATGAAATATTATTTAGACATGAAAAAGAAGGAAATCTTGCCATTTGCAGCAACATGAATGCACCTCGAGGGCGTTATGCTAAATAAAATACATCAGACAGAGAAAGACAAATACTGTATGATCTCTCTTACATGTGAAATGTAAAAAAAGAAAGCTTATAGATACAGCAACCACCAAAAAGAGTAGATTGGTGGTTGCCAGAGGTGAGGGGATAGGAGAAATAAAATTAAAACAAAACTTTAAATAAATACATTAATGTATCTTTTCCTCTTTGTATCCCCAGAATGGTACTCAATAAACATTCACTGAATGGTTTCATGATTTCATGTTGTCACAGTTTCCAGGTAAATAGAAGCGAAAGCTTTTGCTGTCAGTCACATAAGAGGTTGAAAACAAGAAAAACAAACTTAAAATTTCTGTACTTTAAAATCCAATGCTCCACAATGTGATATATAGATGATGTATTACAGAATTGTACACCTGAAATCTATGTAACTTTGCTAACAATTGTCACCCCAATAAACTTTAATTAAAAAAAAAACCACAAAAACCCAAGGCTCAGATTACCATAGCTTAAAGGCATCATGTCTTATTCCTCTAGCTCAGGGGTCAGCAAACTGCAGCTCGCGAGCCACATGCGACTCTTTGAGTACATACATGTGGCTCTGAAGTAAAATTGAAAATGAAAACAAAACTATCATAGTTTCATGTATAAAATTTTTAAGGATATTATTCACATAATGGTGATTTCATTTGTTTTATGGCTCTCGATTAATTTTTAAATTGTTGTGAGGGACAGGATCGGCTCTTCCATCGCAAAAGGTTGCCAATCCCTGCCTTAGCTCATTTCTTATTCTTTTGTAGGTGAATAAAATCTTTTATTCTGCCACCTAGAAGTTTTTTAAGTAAACACCAAATCCACTTTTCTGACACAAAAATATCAAAACCTTTAGATCTCCCATGCATTTCTTATATATATAGTTAGAGGGTTGACTACATTTCTTATATATCATTACAGAGTTGACTCTAGTTGAAGTTAAGTTGTAGAAGGACCATGGAAATTGGTAAAGGAAATTGGAGAGCTTGTTCCAAATAGAACTGAATGATAAGGGCTCAGTGGAATAAGACAGCATTAGGTTTCCCAAATAGGAAGAGGAATCCAGGGGAGGATATACTTCAGGGGAGGTGTGCAGAGAAGGATGTGTGGTAACCAATGCAATGGATTGTTGGGCGACGTCTTCAGGTTAGAAGGTAGCTGTTTAGAATTGGAATGAATGCAAATATCATCAGTTCCAAAACTTCAATTAATTCATTTAGTCAATATATCTTGAATATCTACTATGTGTCACACACCTGTGAATACAATGATAACCCAAATAGACCTGATCTCATAGAAATCATATTTTAATTGGGAAGACAGGTGACATTGCAGTGATGTTAATGCTATATGTGGGAAGTCCATGGCATTGTCAGAACACGTTATAGGGCTATTTAGGACCTGAAAAGGCTTCATAGAAGAGAAAATAATTCAGGAGGGAGTGAGAGGGTCTTCAGAATTTTGTGTGCTTTTGTCAGGCCCTTGTTCTTGATGGTAGCTGGATTTTTCTGAGAAAGACAAGAGGTAAATGTAGAACGGAGCTCACAGCTCATCTATCTTTCTAATCACAATTAGCCCAAGATCATACTGACTTAAAGTAAATTATTTCCCATATTTTTGTCTGGTATATGCAGATAAAGTTGAGAATGATTGGATACATAGAATGGGCTCCATGAATTATAAATTGTCCGTGTGAGTTCTGTCATCAGATACACAAAGGTTCAGATCCCAGATTCACCACTGAAGGGCTGAGTAGCTTAGGACAAGTAACTTAATCTGCTAAATAGATTTCCTCTTCAGCACTTTGCCTAATACCAACTCAAAAATTGTTATGATAATTAAACAAGACATGGTATGTAAAGCCCTTGGCAGTTTTTTCATATATTAAGTGTTAGAAATGTATTAGGTATATGGTTTTATGATTATCACAGCTATTATTTCTCCTGTGAGGGGTGAAGAGAAGAATTCAAAGAGACCAATGATTTAATTTCTTGTTTAAGGCCCTTTCCTATTTAAAATTTTTTAATTCTAAAAATTAGGTGGTAGAAATGGCAAAGGAGTGAGAAAGAATGTTCAAATCGATACGGAAGTAGCACTGAATTAATGTAGAGTCTGTCGCTGCAGATGCTATTAAAACATTAGCAAAAAAAGAATTAAGCAAATGATGCTTCTTTACAATTCACTCATTTGAGTTTGGGCCTCCAAAACATCAGACTTAATTTATGTATTCCTCTTAATGTCCACCAAATTTTTGAAAATATGGTTTTGTATTGCTAACTGAAGTTAGCTAGAATTATCCTCTTTTTTTTGTTGCCTTTTAACCTCTGCAAAGTTGTGGTGGAGGGGGATAAAAAAGACATTTAGCAATACAAACTGCAGACCCTAAGTGTAGCATCTAATGGAATGAAATTAAATAATTATGAATTATGTTCACAAGTAATTTATCTTAACATACAAATTATTTTATGTATGTTTTAATTTAACAAAAAAGCCCAAGCTCATAGATATAAAGGAAATAACAATGCAAAAACACAGGGAGACAACCATGATGAAGGGAAATATTCATTCTACACACATGTACGCAACCCATTCATTTATCCAGTAAATATTTGTTGAGTACCTACTATGTGGTTGATACTCTGCCAGGTGCTGATCATACAGGAACAAAAAAAGAAAGACACCACCAATGGGGTGATTTGTTTAAGGCAAAATGCAGTCACATCTGTCCCCTTCTTAAATCCTTCATTGTCTTCACTGCCTCTTAAGATAAAATCCAAACTCCTTACTGTGACTAAGACAAGATCCTTGCAGATGTGGCCCCTGCGTCCTTCTCATGATACAGTGTTGAGCCTCCCTCTCCCTTATGCCAACCTCCTGGCCACTCTAGTGGAGTAGTTGCCAATACCATGTCTTTTTTCACCTCTGAACCCTGGCTGGTGCTGACCCCTGCCTGTAAGTCCTCTTCCCTCCATTTCCCTGGGTAATTAATTCTTCCTCTCTTTCAGGGTTTCATCATCTGATGAATGAAAATAATAGTAATAATGATAATGAATGAATCATTCTTTATCACTTGTTGAATGGCTTTTTCTGCTAGCTTATAATTTCCACAAGGGCTTCATCATCCCCAGCAGCTTGACTTTTAATGTTTTATAAAATAGACAATGCGTCTATATGTAGCTGCTGGGGTTTTTTGGTTTTGTTTTGTGGTTATTGTACTCTTTGTCTAGTCAGTAATAAAGGAAGTGAAAGAATATGGTGGGAAAGGTGCGTGAGGAGAGATACATGCAGCTAGTTTCTGTGGGAAGATAGGATTTGTTCTAGAAGGGATAGACAAAAAAAAAATCGTTAAAAAAATTTGCAAATAGGTCCCATTTTCCACCATAACAATAAGGTGGATCTCATGTTGGTAAACTTCACCCTTAGTGCTGAAAATAATAGATGCCCCTCAAGGAAAGACCCAGGGATAACAGAATTAAGAGGTGACAGGATAGTACTATGATGTGGAAGAAAGCTGGGAGCCTTGAGCTATTTGGTGAAGTCTCCCATTTCTCCATCCCACCACTGTGTGTTTAATGCTCTAAATGATACTGAGGTTGTGGTTGGTGGTAAGAATGGGTACATATACCTGTTTATTGCAGTCATTAATCTACACACTAGGTTTAAAGCTTAGGAAGTAGCACTTTCATGGACCTTTATGGAATTTAACAGAAAGATTTGAAAAAAAAGAAATGGATATAAAACAAAGGAACTATCAATTTGTAACTTGAGAATGGGAGCTGGGCTGAAAATTTATCTTTACTTGACAGATATTTCTGGAAATACAATGCCAATGCACAATATAACAAGGTTTCAGCATAAAAACTTAAGAGAACAAATTTTCAGAGCACCAACTAAAGTGC